TCTCAGCAATGAAGAATCTCTCCTGAAGGCACCCCCCTCATCTGTTGCTAGGTCACCATTTGTGCTCTAACTGCCTTCAAGAGCTACAAGCTACAATGAGTGTTATTTAAACAGAGATTTTGTAAAAACGTTTCACCAGGGGAAAGTTAAGAAGAACGGTCACTTAGATATTTTATATTGTGCCCATGTCAAGGGTCAAGAATGCTTGAAGCATGTAGGAATGATTGTTTTCTAGATTTTTGATCTTCATCATCATCTGAGCATCTGTGAGCTATGATTTAATGGACACAGGGAAAAATTATAAAACATATATACTAGAAAAACATTATACCTTCCATTATGCAACTACTAAAATTTCATCTTAAATATCCTTTTGACTTTAACAGAATATTCAGATTTGTGTAACTGTACTGAATACAATTTAAACATTATATACAGTAATACTTTACAAGCCTAATACAATCACCAGTTATTTAAATTCAATATCAAAGAATTGGCTTACAAGGAGTGGAATGCTCTCACATTACATCACACTAAGCAATAATTCAAACAAATTTACAAAACCCCTTATGGACATGGTCACTGCAAAAAAAACTATTTGTTGCATTTTAAAAGTTGGAGATCGACTCTCAGCTCCATGTTGTCTCAATAAAGCTGATTACAGATATGCCACTGCACTGTGATGCATCATAATCATTCGATTGTTTTTTCATTTATTGCAAGGTTACTGCAAGAACTAAAGAAAACCTTGACTTCAACTTAAGCAACAAAATCACTTTAGTATACAATCATATCTTACAAGCTAGGGAGAAATTCTAGAAAATACTTTTCATTAAGTGTTAAAGATTTTGAACACACAAAATGTGAGCATATGAAAGAGTTTTTCTCTACAAAAGATCAATGCCTCAAGGGCATATGAAGCCTGAAAAGTTCTGACTGCGCCTGAAAAATCTTAAGAAAATTGCTAGTCAGCTTTTTTGTTCAAAAATCAGTTTCTAATTATGTTTTAACTCAATCCAGAAGCCAAAAGGTTGCAGGTTTCCCAGCATTTGCATGTCAATGCTGATCACAAATTACTACCTTTGCAAACAATGGCATCTTTTCCTTTGTCTTTCTCATTGCTTGGAGGAGGAGGGACACTGACAGTGCTTGCAAGCTGATGCATGAAGAAAACACCTTCACTAGGGACCACAATAAGCACCTGTGGGCAACACTTAACTACTTCCTGCAGAACAAGACTCTGGGTCAGCGCTGGTGGCACCCAGGGCAATTCACCTTGTTCACAGGAAGAGGATGTGAGCTGTTGCCATGCACAAGGGAAATGTCAGCATCACAAAGTCTTACCTTCACAGGTATTTTTCAGTAAGAAAAATTGTTAGAACATTGCTGCACAACACCTTCATAACTGCTACACAAGAAGTTGTAATCAGATGCATCATGCTTTACAGGGACATTAGAAGTCATAAGATTTGGCTTAGAATCATTTAAAGCGCTTGGTACAATGCTACCTTGGTACATGACCTATGTGATGTCATCTGTGCTTGTCCCTATGAAGCTCTATGCATGGTGATTATGACATTTTCTGTAGCAGTTATGCAGGGATTATGAAGCTGTTATGCAGTAATATGGAAATAAAGCACTACTTACTTTTAATAATAATAAACTATTTTATAAAGTGCCTTTAAAGGTGGCTTCTCGAAGCGCTTTACAAAATGTTTCTTAAAGTGTGGTGTCTGAATGCTTCCAGATAAACAGGCATTCTTTCCAAGTGTGCCTGTATGTGTACATCACGAGACTTGTCTGCTTGGTTCATCATTCCCAGTGGGCAGAGGAAGGAGCGAAGGGGCCGAGTGATACAATGATCTACATCATCCCTGCGATTTGAAGTCAGCGGTTGCGCTGCTCTGTCACGAAGTGTTCGTCACACCCAGTGAGCAGAAGTCGTGGTCTAACCCTGCTTCCCCTGCCAGCCACGTCGCGGCCTGCGTGCGATTCCCAGCCTCCCAGATGTCACTACCATTTCCACACCGACAGTCTGACCGAGACGCCCCAGTCTCCCCTCGGCCCTACCACATCATCTCCTGCACTCATCAGAGAATGTCGTGAGAGGCTGCAGTGGACTTCGAGGGGTGAGGTGGGCATTTCAAGGGTGTTATGGGATTACTGGATTATTAAAAAAGTCTGGTTTGACTTTAACATCCTGTCTGGTGGTGAGGTAATGCAGTCAGATTCATTGCGTTCCTGCAATCTGAACAGTTCCAAGCTGCAGTCTTGTACCCCAAACATGTGAATGTGCTGGCAGACAGCAAAGAGCAGTCTCATAGAGCATTAGGTATATTAATTCGCTTACATACAAGAGGAGACAATTCGGCCCATTGAACCTGATAGCATCTAATTGATCCAAGGATCTCATCCAGCTATTTTCAGAAAGACACCAGGGTGGGGGCTTCATCAACAGGACTGGGCAGCTTATTGCACACTCCCACAATCCTCTGGGGAAAGGGCCTCCTGGGCTTGGTTTTGAGTGCACTTCCACAAGCAGCTGGAAGGAGAAAGCTCATGTTTGCTTCAGATATATTGTACAAAAAGCACCACCACACAGCCATGCCTACGTTTCCCGTCATGCTTCATTCTGCTCAAGAGCTGTCCGCACACTGCATCACCAAGACCCAGCTTCACTCACACTCCCCTCTCCTTCACAGACAGCATGAGAGCACACAGAGCACCACGCCCGTGTGATCAGCAGCTACAGTGACTTCAGGTAATCCCGGGTAGGTTCAAAAACATCCAAAGAACACCGTTTTAAATTGCCCCGTCTCAAAACTTGAGATATTAATGCAAGACGGTGGTCATGCCAAAAGCAAGGGGGTGTCACACAGAATGACCCAGCTCCCACTTTGGTTTAATAAAAACAACGTCTCACTATATCTGAAAGTATAAACTGGAGATAAACCTAATTAAAATTAATAGAATTAAAAATAGCCCAGACTTTTGCACAGTACTCTGTTTTGTATAATTAACTAGAAATAAAAAGCAGTACAGGGGCTAGCCTGAGCTCATTAGTGACATGGATGTAGATTTCTAGAAACGTTAGCACACTGTGTGAAGTGTTACCTAATTATTCATAGTTTTATTTTGCAATATCACCTGAAACGCAGTGACTCATGACTAATTCTCAAACAATGTAAAACCTCTCATCCACTGACAGTGAGGAAGACATTAAATAACAGTGAGAAACGCTCTTCTTAAACCATTAGGGACAACATTCATTTCTGGTCAAAAAGGCTTTGACAGAGAGCCAGTGTCCATGAGCAAACAGAGGAAAACAGAAGTAACCACACGTTGCATCTTTTCCCAAAGAACAAAATCACATATTGAAGTTACTGCAGCTCAGCTGAACACATACTGTTTTCTGTTCATAAGGCATCCTAAAAAAAACTATCCTCAACATTAGAGGAGTTAAAATAAGAATTTGAAACCAGCTCAAGCCAACTAAAGAATCAGCTGTACATTTAACAGAAAAATGCAGCCAAATAGAGAAAGTACTTTAAGCAAGAACAGGTGACAAATAACTTGGACGGTATCAACCAAGCTAATATCTCGTAGTGAGCTTGAAGAGCTTTCTTCAGGTGCTGCTAACTGGTGTAATTTAAAACAAGTTCAAGCTTAAAAACAGCACTGCTAGGGGTTGAAACAGAAACACTTTATCAAAGGTACTGCTGCATAGAAACACCACAGACAGGGGCCTGACATCAGCTGGAAATCTAACTGCTTTTATGTCTAAGTAGTTCACAACAGAAACATAATTTTCAAATCAACACGAGCTAGCGAAAGAGAACAATGAACGCTAAATGATTTCTTTTTAACACAGAGACACATGTTGAAAAAAATCATGACTGTTTAGCAACTGCACCTGATTCAAGCACAATGCTGTCCAATCATCCAGCTAATTACAGTAAATATTTTGTGTACTGCTTATAAGCCGTCAGCTTGAATGGCTCGGGTCCTGCTCACAGGAGACAGGTTATAGGCAAAAGGCTCAGTCTCACAACATATTGCTAATGGCTTCCAGAGACAAGAGTCTCATACAGTAGAGTTTCTATTAATGTATAAAATCAGATTCCTGTGCCCCCCTCCCCTCTGTCACAAACGCACACTTATAAATAACCAGAGGCATACATACATCAGTCTCACAGCCAGAGCCTGTGGTCACTCCATGGGCCAAACTAGGAGCAGGTGCTGATGCACTGAGCTGTACAAAGCTGTGATTGACCTCAGCACTCTCCCCAGGGCCTGCCCAGATTGCAGTGACACTCTGACTCACATCGTGTTCAGGACATGTACCAACTCCACAGCCCTGGAGCTGAGGACTTGTTTAGGTACCCCCAGCCAAAGGTCCCCACAACCCACAGACTACAACCAGGCACACATCTGGACTCTCTAGAGGGGGCAATGCATACTTACAGTACAGTGTATATACGATCTCAAGTGCTCCTTATGGTCAGTGCATGCATATACAAGCACGGCTGAACTCCAGTATAAAAAAGTATGTTAGCAATTTAAGCAATTTTCCCCAAGTCCAACAGTAAATCTTCCATCCATCCATTTTTTAACCGCTTTACCCAATACAGGGCTGCAGAGGAGCCGGAGCCTATCCCAGCAAGCACCGGATGCAGAGCAGGATATACCCAGGATGGGACACCAGTCCATCACAGGGCACACACAGATACAAACATGCACACACTCACATCTGGGCCAATTTTCCCAGAAGCCATTTAAACTACTAGTATGTTTTTGGATTATGGGAGAAAACTAGAGGAAACCCCCACAAACATGGGGAGAAAATACAAACCCCACACAGATAGCACCCCAGGTCTGAAACTGAACCCTGGGTCCCAGCACTGCAAGGCGAAAACGCTAACCATCACCATGCCAAACCTACGTAAATATACTTTTCTCATCAACCTTATAAATAATTTGAAAAATAAAAATCAATTTACCTCTCCATTTCATACTCTTTCTTCCCAGGTCTTACATTCTTCATTATCTGAAGAAAACAGAAAAGGGAGATTTTCAATGTTACCACTCACATTGCATGCATTTTTTCCTCGGGGCTGCACAATAGCCATGGCACTTGTGACGTGATGCTTCGGATCAAATAGCTGGTGCGGTACTGTTTTTGCCAGAAGGCAATCGGTTGGCTCCCTGCGCTCCTTCTAAATCAGGCAGGGACAGGGCTTGTAATGCTTACATCTGCAGTTTGAAGTTAAGATGATTTCAAGGTGCAGCTGCAGGAATCATTATGTTTGACCCCCTCAGTGTGTAACAATGATGACTCTCAGTTCAAGTACAAGGGTGTTCTCATGTTACCCCAGCTGATTGAATTAAGACGGAAGGTAAGAGAGCCTTGTAAGAACGGAAAATGTTTTTTTTTTAAGTCATGAGCCGATGAATCAAAGCTGTCAGGGTGTCATGTTTTACCCTGAGATGCCAAAACAGATTTGTAAAGACATCAGTCGCAGGAACACCTTGTCTCTCTGTAAAGGGAAAGTCAGTGTCCCAGTGCCTTCATCCCTGAAGTCTGGTTGCTTCGCTTGCTTTAACGATTGACACCTCTTATTGTCTCCTCATAGCAGAAAAAAATAAAACCCACAGAACAAATCCTTTCATTTTTTCGAAATCTCCTACTGTGATTAAAACGGCCAGACAAATCACTGCTGCTGCTGCATGTGCTGATGCAGATCTCTTGCTGCCTGCCCTTGTTTCTAATAGCTGACCGCATCAATGACAATGAGGCTTTTAGAAGTCGATTAAAAAAGTGCAGTACACCTCCACTTTGTTATAGTTTCTTGTTTGCTAGCACACTGTTGCATGTGTTCTGGTTGCACGCCTGCTGCTTCTGATGATAACGCTGCACGTCTGTGAGTTCAGATAAAGTTCTGAATTTAGGTTAGGCTCTACAGTTCAGGAATCACTGACAAGGATCTGGGCTATTTCCTTAACTGACAACAGCACTGACTGCAGCCATTCTGATTGATGGAAAGAAGCACAACTGTGACCAGCTGTGGTCTTTGGATGTCGGGCTGCTGGGACAACTGGACTGTTAGTCGGCCACGTCCTAGTGAGGTGGTGTGGGCTTCGCCACGTGAGAAGTGGATCCCTTGAGAGGACACGTACGGGAAGGTGCGCACATGACCCGCATGATCACCGGGGGGCACCATTCCAAGCCGGGGAAAAATCATTGCCATGTGCAATCATCCCACATTTATTTATTTTTTTAAATAAGCCAACATCTACCAAGACATCTGAAACCGAATGCAAGCACAGGGCGTGGAGAACAAACTGAGCAGCCTTGAGAAAGCACGTCAGAAGGTCACGGGTGCTTATCTTCCTGCCCTCTCCCCGATCTTTCACTCACCTGTTCTGCGTAAAGCAAAATCCATCTGTGACGATCCTTCACACCCCTGGTTTAATAACTTCCGTTTACTCCCATCTGAAGGCAGATACCGACTCCCCAACTCCAAAACAATCAGATTTAAGTTAAATTTTCATACCCCCAACCATATGCTTACTAAAACTTGATTTTCTATGCCAATATGTATGAACATTGTTGTTGTTGTCTTGTTTTTTTTTCCATTCGTCCGTACACCACTAAAGTGTGCCGTTACCATCTGAGGTTCCATCTGCCCATCAGAGGTTCAGATTGCAAAAGGGCTCACTCTCCTTTAAAGGGAATAATGCATTTATTGGTGTATACACCAGGGGGCGGTAATGAATTAATGATCGCTTCACCATTTCATTTGGCTTTAGCAGCTTGGCCTATAGCTTAGCCTCTGAAAAGGGCAATCTTCAGAATGCAGAGCTTTTGTGTACAGAAGTATAAAGATTTGTGTACAGTACTTAGATTAAAGCAATAATTCAGAGCCACGGATTAACTGGAGTAATCTATATTTAATAGGAATAAGAAGCAGAAAACGAACAATGTCACAAACTGTCTGTCTTGGCTCATTACCCAAAGCATTGTGTCAAAAACGGATTATTTAAAACAGAAAAATCTGTATTTATTTTATTTCTCACCCATCTGCTCTTTACAATAAAAAAAAAACAGAGAAGTCACTAACAAACATCATTCTCCTCCTCCACGGTCGAGTGGCATGAGTAATTAGCTGTGCTAAGAATCAGAAAGAAGCCAGCTCGGACCCAGGACTCACGCCGTGCTCACATGAAACACTGGTCTGCCACTTCACAGAGAAGATCCCAAGACAGACCGTGAAAAATCACTTAAGACTCGGGAGCGCCAAGGAAACCAGGATTTACTTCTGGGCTGGGATAGAGAACACAGACACTGCAGTCTGGACAAAGGGGATAAGGGATACGTGACCTGATGATTATAATCAGTGCAGGTACTGGGAGAAGGATTTTAATGATGTCCCAGGAGATAACAGGGCTGATGTCAGCCAAACCAGTCAAGCAGAACTGGAGTCTGACTCCTGTAGCCACCTTGACAGCAGAGTGTCACTGCTGTACAGGTGGAGGTCTCCTTTTCTATCCATGAAAGAATCAAAATCAGACAGAAATAATTACATTAAAGTCCCATATCACAGACACCTCCTCAGATCTCTGGGCTGTCACCATTAGCCCTGGTGTAATAAACTCAAAGACAACTTCGGTTTGCTTTTGGAAGAGAAGTCACTTCATATTAGGAGATGTTAAAGAAATGTAGATATGTAGAAATAATTAGTGGCGGAAGAACGAACAGCTTATTTTGCATGTTTTGCATGGAGAAAGACAATAACTTGTCTTGGGAAATAACCTGGGGAACAGAGATCCATCCCTCAACGTCAGGTGAGAGCTCCCTGATATTCTCTCGCTAAAATATTCCAGCTAAGCCTGTGTTTTCATGTATGTGAAAACAATCCTCCCCCACTGTACAAAAACATTTACATTTTTCTAAACTCCACATTACATTTCCCCCTCATCAAGCCAGTCCAAGGGTCAAATGACTGCACACTTCTACTTAGTTATCTCAGATTTATTGCATCGCCCAGTCCTTGGGCACAGCGCTTCTGATTTAATTTCTCAGCCGACGACAGAATGAGCCTGCTCGAATTACTGAGCGCAATTCTCTCTCAAAACAAACACGGCCCTTTTCTGCTCCAAGCTACATCTCGGAGAAAGAGAGGGGAGAGATAATTAAGCAAAAAAAGATTTCAGATTACGGCCTCATGCCTAACCATGTTTGCCCAATTTTTGATTTTATCAGTTGGACAAGTGCATTTTAGTTCATGTGTAATTCAATGAGAACAAATAAAAGTTGGTTTTATGACTAATTAATGAGATGCACTGTGAAAGCTAGACTGTATTATTAATTTCTTAATATTTTAGGGTAATCTACCATCAGCGTTTAGGCACACTGCCTCAAACCTGCCCCTCGCTACTCTCTTTACTGGAGAAAATGTGCCCTGTGTTAGGGTTGTCACTTGCAGATTTTGCTTATATTTTTATTAATGCATTAAATCAACTTTTCAGCATGAGCTCAGCTTCTGAAAATTATGCACTTGAGTCTTTTGTCGGCAAGCGCACCAGTGGTGATCGAGCCGCCGAGATGCCCGTGTGGTGAACTCATTTGGATTTGATTTCTTCTTTCACATTCAGAATCCATTTGTTTTACAGCCACTATTGCCCCCGGAGTCCTTCACTACTTAAAATGAATATCCGCTAATAGTAAGGGAAACTAACTTTGATCACATAGGTTAGATATTTGTCTTCATCAGTGCTGTATGAATGCAGCAGCTATGAAGACTTATGCCAGTTAATACACTTTATCCCTTTTATTGCTAAAGATTATATAATAAGAGCACTTTACACAACAAACTGCTTGCCTAAGGCACACAAGGCCAGCTTGCCCTGACTGGCAGAATTGGCATTGTTTTTTTTTTTAATAAATAAGACAGTTCTATAAATGTATTACTTTGGACAAATATTGCATAAAAATAAACAGCAATCCCATTATTTCTCATCCCTAATTCATATGCAATCCAGGTTATCCATGGTAACATGCTACAGAGAGGCACAGGGTGTTAACAGGCTTTGAGTTTGAGTCCATGATCAACCACAGAAAAAGCCAAAGAGTTTCAACGCTGTTCTCTTTCTCCACCACTTTGTAGGGCTCAGCCATTATTCCTCTGTGTTGATGCTTCTGTAAAGAATGTTAGACACTGTAAACCTGGCTCTGCCAGTAAAGGCAACTGTTCATTCATCTATTTTCTAACTGCTTTATCCAATTCAGGGTCACGTGGAGCCGGAGCCTGTCAGGCAAGCGAAGGGCACAAGACAGGATACACCCTGGACCTCAGTCCACTGCAGCGCTCACACAGACACACTCACACAAGGGCCTGTTTTCTCAGATGCCAACTAACCTACAGTACCAGTATGCCTTTGGACAACAGGAGGAAGCTGGAGCACCCGGAGGAAATCCATATGAACACAGGGAGAACATACAGACTCCACGCAGACAGCGCCCCAGGTCTGGAGCTGAAGCCTGAGCCCCAACTGCAAGGCAGCAACGCTAACCACTACACTACCGTGCCTCCCTCAAGGCAGCTGCTCTTAGGAGGAGTATATTCCCTGTAGAAAGTGCAAGCCTGGCCTCATTTTCATTCTTTGCTAACGGTGATGAATTCTCCCCGAACAGGGGTGATGAACGGGGGCCCAGCTGGTGTTCGATGGAATGTAGGAGATGGAGATATCCTCTGCTCCCTGCACAACAGTATCTCCTTTGACTTCCTCTGCACTAATGAGCTTGTAGTGTGGTTGGCTATAAATGTACGACTCACACAGTGTCCACAGATTTATGGGGAGATATGGCACGAGGCATTCTACTCACAGTGCCAGCAGTCTAGCCCTAGTGGGCTATTTGCATCCCTTACACACAACCACTAACGCAGTGGTACTCTTACCTGAACAAAGACAGATACAGCTCCTCACGTTCTAAAATAATTCAGCATCCCCAATAGCATTGGTGATACAGACCATTTAATTCAATGATACATTCAGTTAGCTCACTATGAAATTAACTTTAAGAGAACTATCCCTGAGCTAAGAGAACCAATTTTTCAGAATGACATCATGCAAAGTTTTATACAATTGACAAACAAGAGAATACTGACTCGTCCTTTCAATTCTATCAATTGATTGGAATATAAAATGACAGGATGTTAGCAATTTTGATGTCTCCTTGTGACACTGGGAATACGTTTGTGGACAGCAGTCCTTAACTGTCCTTGGTTTGAAGGTTATATTGCCATTTCTATAAAAGACACAAAAGAGAACTGCAGGAAATAAAATAAGTAAGAGGGGGTTTTATCGGTTTTAAATTGAATTAAACAGGAGGCACTTCTAGTTCACAGGAATTATGTTATTAAAAAAATAATCAAAATTCTTCAACACAAAACACAGCAGTGACAGTAATATGTTTTATATTGGTCTCTAGAGGAGGAAAAGCTAATACATTACAGGCTGTGCAGTGTTTTAATTGTGTTATATCACTGAGCAATGGAACATTAAAATTATAGAAACTTAATAGTGTAGACCATGCTACCTGTACAGTTTTCTCCAAACATTCCAAGCAGAAAAGAATTCTCTATGAATTGCAACTCAAGGGAACATTCCTCCAAAATTCACTGAAAACCTTCAAGAAATTCAGCTAAATTAAAAAAATAACCCCACACAATTAAGACCAAAAGGCAAGAAGCAATAATACCGTCTTCGGCTCTGGATATGGGTGCTCAAATCCACTTTGTGAAGGTCATCACAGATTAACCCAGAGTGAAAACTAGTCTCCCACACAAAAAAGCAACTTTAACCCTACAGCTTAGGGTCTTATCTTAAATAGCACAAACAGGCAGAGTTCCTGAGCTCGGCCATCAAACAACTTTCTAAAAATGTTCACAGGCAGAGGACACTCTAAGTACAGAACAGCAGTGGGCACAAACTCAAGTATGCATTAGAAACTCGGTCTGAACAATGCTAACCCTCAGAGTAAAGGGGTATTGTTCAAGAATCAGCATGGCTATCATCCACTGGAATCCTTTCTTCCCACCTGCTAGAAAACTGATACCTGAATGCTAAGACTTAAAAAGCTCCACTGTTTTTGCTGCAAAGAGAAAAAAAAAACCTGAAGGAGGCAATTTGAATGGCTAGTGTTTCTGTGAGGTTGTCGTCTTTTCCTTGGAGAGGGCAGTAGCTGCTGATCTAGCTGTGTTTTCAATGTGTATTGCACAGCCGATCCAATTGATCTTTATTTACTTGACCCTAGTTCAAAATTCATCCTTCTCCCCAGCTCATTCACATCATTTGTTGGCTCATTGAGCAAAGTTTTATTTCCCCTATATCTCTGTAATTTGCTTTTTTGTGTTTTCTGCCATGCAATCTGAAGCAGCCCACTCTTTCTGCTTCAAATCCAATCAGGAACACAACTCTAGCAACCTCCCAAGACAGACGAAGTTGACATGAATGTCTTCGAAGACATATACCTCAGGAGTCAACTGCTTTTCAGTGCACAGGGAGTCAGGAATGTAGGCAGCAGGGCTGCTGTGTCAGACATAGGCTCTAAGAGTGGTACAGCCCAGATTTGAACTGGGAACTGCACTCTGCACTCAATCAGATTACAAATGGCTACCATCAAGACTGGGACTGTGAAAATGGAGCTGATGTCACCTACAGCAGGAGGTGTACCTTGCCAGTCTTTATTATATTAGAGTCTGCCATTTATTCAATACCCAGGGGCATGTGGGTCACTTCCTCACTGACCCCTATAGACACACAGAGAAGGAGTCACTCCCCAAGAGTGGTACAGCCTAAATTTGAACTGGCAAACCTGAGTGAAGTGGCCGTTGCAGCATGATGGCATAACCTTCGACTGACTTATAAAACACAGCCAAGCCACATGGAGCAGCACCCTCCCTTGTTGAGATTGGAAGTATGATTTCACTCGCTTCACATGCAGCTCTTCAGAACTGAGGGACAGGATTCTGGCACACCGACTATCAGATTGGTCTTTATCACTGCCTGAAAAAGCCACATTCTCAAGACTTACAAAAATGTTAGTTTCAATTTTGCATATCTCTGCCTTGCACACCCTTATCTTTCTTCTGAAGAGTAATGTAGCTCCACGCGAGCTCTTCATCAGCCTAATGTCGAAAGCCGACTTTCGAGGTGCTAGCTGATCTTGCTACGCACAGCAGTCACTTACACTGCCAGTAATTACGCCACTAAGTGGAAATGATTCACAGGTTTCCAAAGGCTGAAGACAGAATCGCTTGAATTTCCCAAAACAAGATTTCCTATATTTTGCCGCTGTGCAAGGCGAAGATCGACTCTTTATTTTAAAAATGAAAGGAATCCAAAGTTCTAGTTCCCTAGTTTATCACAGACGGCCATCTGCAGAGGAACAGCAGTGTGCTTCTTACCTCTTTGTGGGCTTCACTTGAGATCCGGTTAGTGTATCGCAGGACCTCCAGCTCCATATCTGTTTTAATCAGGCGGCTGCAGGAGATACAGAAGACAAGGTGGGTTAGAAATACACACATGCAGGTGCAAATAAATACAAAGGCACAATGTGACTGCCCTCAGGCACAAGCAGCTGAACAACCGAGAGACAAAGGAACTGGAGACAAACGAATAAGAATAAGAATACTTAGATCTCCCCAACAGGGTGTGGTTAAAACTATGAGGATGGTCATAATACATGACTGGAATAGTGGACAGTGGTCAGGCTTCTGCAATCTGAACGAGAGGGTTGTGAGCTCAGTGGGTTCAAGTCCCGGAGGAACACTTCTGTTTTGCCTTTGCGCAAAGTACATCATTTAGATTGTTACAGCTGTATACATCTGTACGAACTGTAAGTTATTATGGGTAAAGGCATCAGCACAAAAACATTGTATTTATATCAGTCTTTATCATTATTGTTCATTCTCAAATTTTCTTGCTTTAAAGCCTTGGTAAAGGAGTTAATATTTTTGCTTATACAACATTGCAAAACAGTGGCGTAGTGGTCTGCACTGCTGTCTCGCAGCTCTGGGTCCCTGGGTTCAATTCTTGGGGTGCTATCTGTGTGGAGTTTGTCTCATGGACAGCTGGTAGGTATTGGTTTCTGTAAAAACTAGAACTGGTGCGAGTGCTTGTTTGTGTCTGTGCGTTTCCTGGGACAGCCAGGCATCCCATCCAAGGTGTATCTCACCTTGCACCCAGTGATTCCCAGAATAGGCTCGTGGCCATTATCACCCCGAACTGGATAAGCAGTTATTGAATGTGATTACTGTATTTAAACCTTTTGATCTGGCAAACTGAATTAACGTACAGTAGGTGCACAAAATTACACAACTGGTTGAATGGCCTCTGTCTGCCTGTGTACAATAATAGTTGTTCACAAGATCACCAAATCAATACACCTGTCTGCAAGGTGAACTTTAAGAACACTGCAAGGCACTGAATGCACTTTGCTCGAGAGCACGTGTTGATTGTGAAGAAATCACCACCTGCTGGAGGCACAGTCCAAGGTGTGCAGGCACAGCATGTCACTGCGAGTCTGTTCACAAGGCCACGCTGGTGATTTCTCTTGTTCAAACCAGCACCCGGCCCCCCCACCCCTTCTCATCTCCGCTGACCACCCCTCTTCCAGCTCCCACGGACGATTTCTCCACCTCCCTCTTAGCCATATTTCACAAGTGCTCGTCTTCATCGACAGGTCGCCACCACACCCCCACAGCCCCAGTCAATGGCTCTGGATCCACTGCGCTAATGGAAGTGCATCTCCACCAGCTGTGGTGAAGCAATATCCTCCGCAGTAACGACACGCCACACACTAGACTCGCATATGCAGAAGCGCCTACCCACACGACTGCAGGGCCAACAATGGAGGTAATGAGGCTAAACACAGTCACCTCAGAAAATACACATTAAAAATCTTTTTTTTACTGTTTGATCTACTGTGACAGTAGTGCAGTTGAGTTACTGCACTATATAATTCTTTAAAGCAAACTCTGAATTGTCACTTTTTATTGAAGTGGAGCAAAGAAGTTGAGCAGCGTGGTTGCAGGAAAATTACATCCCAAACACCAGAGCAGTGAAGAAACACGATTGCTTTAGAGAAAACATTTACGGCATAATAAATGCAACCCATGGTGTGCTTAACATACAGATGATTTAAAGTACTGCACTGATATTTGAATTGAGGTGAAACAAATCACTATATCCCTGCATGTATTTCATGTAACAGCTCTTTCCTTGGCCTAGGTCAAGGTCAGCTCCTGCAAACGGCTCAAAAATGCCAGACTAGAAATTTATTGTAACTATATGACCTGAAAACTCAGAAAGTATTCATTTTCAAAAACAGACAGGAAAACTTTTCTTTTTCATTTCACAAAAAAAGTAGGAACACGGGAGACGTCCGCCTTGAGCTGCCAGCTTTCTTATTTGGGAAATGTCAGGTTCATCAGGACCGATTCGCTTCCCGGCCGTCTTTGGTAATCTTTGGTAATAAGTAAGACAGAGAAAAAAAATGAAAGCTTGCAGGGAAGTGAGGTGTAACCATAATGAACTGGCTTCCCACAGAGTAATAAAGGTCTGGGCCTAATACCCGGAGCAGCCAGGCAGGCACGGAGACCATTACAGCTGAGCACTCCGGCTTATTGCTCTGCCTCGGAAAAAAAAAAAAAGAGTCCCAGCTTATACAAGAGGATCGAAACATTACCTCTCGGAGGTCTCGGCAACTCCTGCTTCATTTACTCCATCTTTTAGCTGGATTTGACAGTGGAAGAAAAAGTCTTAAAGCACTCTCGGGTGAGAGGGTAGATGTTATAGAGCAGGTTTGTCTCAATTGTACACTCATCCCAGAACTGCAGGCTTCTCTTCTTGAAACTGTGGATGTGGTGTTCGGTGGTGGTCTCCTCAATTGCAGGCAGTTCCACAGACACACTGGGATGGATTGCAAAGCTAGTTTCACTATTGGAATCCTCAAGAGGTATCATTCCACTGCACACAAGAACCCACACAGCTACAGAAGGGGGGAGTGACACAGGCCTGTGTTTCAGGAAGGCAGCATTTCATCAACTCTGACTGCACTAGCTTCTTGATTTGGACTACATACCTTACAAACTGTCAACCGTTCCAGGTCCCCGGCTAAACCAATGGTGAGGCCAACATTTTCAGAAGACGACACTGCTACAAAACAGCTAAATCCACCAGATTTCTAGTCAGTTTCCATCCCAAAACCAAGACAGTCAGCTACCTGCCCTGACTGAAAGCACTGGTCAGATCAGAAGCTGCCGACGCAGATGGTGATCTGTCAGGTCTTTGAAGGCACAACTGGAACACATGTACACATAATTGTCTTCCTCGCTCAAGCTTGCAAGGTTCCCAATCTGATTGTCAACAAGTCCCTAAGGACGTCAATCCATTTTACCACCACACAATGCAAGATTGCCTGAATCGATGGCAGTCACTTCTCTAGGATTCCCAGTCTATTAATCCTGTCAAATAAATAACCTTACTTGTGTTTTATGAAGAGCATTCTGTAATTAATGTTTTGCTATTTGCTCAATCTCTGGGACCAGCAGGTTCATTTTAAAGCAATTTACATGATCTAATATTGCTCCCTATCTCCAACATTTACTGCAGGCAGAGAACATACAAGAACACTGATATTATAGAGATATCATATGCAAATTCTCTAATGAGTACTTCTTAAAGGATATTTGGTCTTTTGTGTTGTGTCATGTACTATATAACACACTGTATCGGTGTTGGGTTTTTCAAAACAAACGTTTTGAAAAGCAAAACTGCCTCCTCTGGAAGTTTCTTATTCAGATGTGTTTTTATAGGATAGGTACTCTACATCCCAGACTTGACTTTTAAAAGCCCCATGAGGCTGTCAGCAGTTTCTCCCAGTGATGTGGCAGTGAGCTCCAATAATTGGTCGTACTCAGTGACACATCTGCCTCTTCAAGAACTCACAGGCGGGGTGTGTTATACAAAATTCTGTAGGTGACAAATTACCTCAGGAAAGCCACTTCCATCACTGATGCCAGTAAAAACATTCACATTCCAACCCTTAAGCTACAAGAACCATCTTTTTATACTTTAATGTGTGTATGCTTATTGATGCATAATTTAAACAGAAATAAACCAACAGTTTGGTTCACTTCTCTGTTCCACATCTAGACTACATCTGGAAAAATGTGCAGCTTTAACACCTTTACAAATACCTTCAGAAAAAAGACAACTTTGGTTCGGAACAAAGAGCTTTGAAAACTACCCCGTTAGATCTTAAAGGTTCAAGACATGGCCTACTAGCTAATTAGGAATTAATGACTAAATAACACACAGTGAAAATGCAGCTAGGGATTAACAGTATACTAATGATTACTAAGAGTGTCTAATTTAAATTAACAATCCATGACTAAGGACTTATTTTCAATGTGCAATTGGCAGGAAATTAAAACTGGGAAATGAAACCTATTGTATTGCCATATTCCTCACAAAACAATTACACGGGAAAGAATGATCCCCGTTTGTGGATTTTCATCTGCAGTTATTCAGGAGCAAAAAAAATTGCTATAATTCAGGGATTAACGCACAGAGCAAGTCTCTGCTGAGGATCTTTAAATTCATGCGTTGCTACAAGAGAGTCTCTTGGAGAAAAGCTCCAGTGTGTTGCCTCACTGTGGCGTTCTCACCAGCCAGAAGCCAAGCTTCCTTGCTACAGTCATAACCCCTACTCTACTTGGAAACAATTAGGAAGACAGTACCACACTACGGAAGTATAAATCCTGCTCTCTCCAGTCTGAGAGCGCAGCGCCTCCAGCAGAGAACATCTATCAAGCGGAGACGGCATGGCGTGGTGCAATTACATGATCAATATATTTCTATTACCAACAAAAGAGGACAGGGAAACAGGGAGACAAGGCAGAAAGTTAGACTGAGGATACCACCAGGCCCAGAATCCTCAGCCCCTCCCCTGCAGAAGATGAACGTCTTCATACTGAACAGGTCTTTCCACGGCCCTAAAAATAAACCAGACTTCCCAAATCAGCACTGCCAAAGACGAAGAAGATTGGAACTGGAATTTGAGGCAAAAGATGTGAAACCCAACCTCGGGATGAAGGAAAATAGCAAGCAAGAAACTCTTATTTTGCGAAATACAGAAGAGAATAATATTTGCAATTACAATAAAGCTTTGGCTGTTTCCTGAAAAAAATGCATAAATAATAATATCATTGAATTTTAAATGTTTAATCATCAAACTGAATAACTAAAAATAAATTGGCCTCCTGCATGTACTGAATCTTATGAATGCTGTGAACAGTGAGCAATCTCAATAAAGGGCTTCCATTGCACTGAAGGTATTATACCAAGTAGGGTAACAGAGACGTTTTATGAACGGAAATGTTATTAACAATAAACAGTCAATGAATAAAAAACGTATGAGAAAATGATCTTAGTTTTATTAAAAGTTACTAATCAATGGCTATCACAAATAGCTTTTTAGCACTCAATTAATGTTGGTTACCATTAACACTATAAATGGTAATCTGTTACAGGTAATACATTCATTTTTTTCCTTTATTTCTGTGCCTATACATCCAGGAAACAGTTTCAAATGTTCTCAATCATAAGCACTTGTAATACAGATTACTCTAATTGCAAAAAATAAAATTCCTTTTTTGTTGTTTAAACACACAGAATCATTCCTCCTACTCCTAGTGCAGCTAAGCTAAAGGAAGGAGTTCTGCAGTGTACTCAAATGAATCTTTACGACAAAGCTTGCTCACAGCTCCCCACACTTAACCATTGTTAACTGTGCTAAATATACATACGTTTGTTTTTCTTCAGAAAATAATAAAAAAAGATTTTCGCTGGCAAGAAAGAATACTTTTCAAAACCGATTGTTTATGTTTTTGTCATACAATAGTTGTTGACAGGCTTTACAAAACTAATTGCTATTTTATGCCCTCAATAATATTTTTTTTCGTTGAGAACAAAATCTCAGAGTAAGAATGATTAAATCTTCAGAAATCCACCGAAGAGTATCTTTTAATCCAGTTGTTTTGAGTAATCTAATTCCTATTTCATCTCATATTTAAAATTACTACTGGACAAAGCCTTATGTATTAGTCAAGGATTTTTTAAAATTCTTTAGTATCATAACTAAGTACTTCACAACGTATCAACCATTTCCCAATGTATATTGACATCAAGCATTTCATCTCCAACAAAATCACAGCTCAACTAGTTGCAAGGCTTGTAAAGCCAACTTTGTTCCACTATTACCAAATAATTGTACGTGAATTTTCAAATGGTTTTAAGTGACTTTTTTAACTTTCTTTAACCAGCAATGTTGTCTGTACCAGACATGCAACTATAAACGATCAAACCCATCTCACAACTATTTTAAAAGGAATCCATCAAAAGTAAACAGCAAATCACAAATGTCTATACCATATATAGAGAGAGATCTCATTTTCTTTTACTCCTTACGTATTTCTGCTTTTCTTGAGCTTCAATTCCAGCTTATCTACAACTGCAGTTGACTTTATTATATTTAGTCAAATTATGTTTTTGATGTGAGTCAAGAAAAGAGCGAAGTGAGTTGGTTTGAGAACGAAATGTTTCTTCAACACTAAGGTACAATAGTATAGTGAATGCATTGTATACCACCTGCTCAATAAATGTAGAAGGCCTGACAAGAGCATTCACTCCCTACAATGCTGTCCCGTATTGCTCAATTTTAAATTAGACTTTTTTTAAAGTGAAGATTTTTAATTAAAGCTTGAATGCTTAAACCTTTCATGGGTGGAAAATAGTTAAATGTCAGCAAAAACTGCAAAAGCGTCTGCCACTCTTACTGCTGAACTGGAAGTGGTACGAGCACACACACTTGTCAGGAAAGACACCTGCAAGCCAAAACCCTGTTGTGTGTTTGAATATGTTTCATTACACACTGGACTCTTAACTGGTAGGAGGTGGAAATGTTGAAATACTGTAGGTAGATGAGGACCCGCCCACCACCACCCATCTTCTAACCTCGTCATCCGCTGAAGCTTCAAGGGACAGCCGGAGCCTATCCCAGCAAGCAACAGGAGCAAGGCAGGGTACACCCTGGATGGGACATCAGTCCATCGCAGGGCACATACAGACACACTCTCACACCAGGGTCAGTTTTCCCAGAAGCCAAATATCCTACCTGTATGTGTTTGGAGTGTGGAAGGACTCTGGAACACCCAGAGGAAACCCACGCAAACACAGGGAGAACATACAAACTCCACACAGACAGCACCCCAGGTCCAGAACTAAGCCCAGGGCCCCAGCACTGTGAGGCAGCAACGCTAACCACAGCGTCACCATGCCGCCTATCCACTATCATGTCAAGGATACGACTAAAACACAATTGAGAGCCACTAGAGACGATGAGCTATATTTTTGAAGACATGTACAGCAGGGGATAGAAGGGGTGAATGAGAACTGCTGTATGTTCCGTTTATCCGATTGGAACACCAGGAAAAAAAAAAACATTCAGAAACCAAGCGGTCCTATAAAAAAGGCAACTTGAGCTCTCAACACAAATTACACGAGCTTTAGGGGGTTCCTTTGTAGATCCTGCAATTGGAGCGAATGAGTTTTCAGAGCTTAAAACAGGATTAACACTCTTGCAGCTCTGATAAAGTGTCATTTTGAGAATGAAGAGAAACAGGAGGGGAAAAGTATAATGTGTATTGAAATGTCAGTCACAAAAGAAAATACAAACAGGTGTTCTATTGAGGAAGAAGAGATAAAAGTGTTCTTGTTTTGCTTCTTTTAAGAGGGGGTTTAAGCTCACATTGCTTTCACTAAAACCAAAGGACGACTTTTGCAATGTGATGAGACTTGAATTTAAGAAACCAGAGCTCAAGGATGGCTCACTGCAGTTGACGATACTGTCACAGCTTGCATTTTGAGATATTTTTTTCAAAGTAACTCGGCTATCTGCCAAAGAAGAATTGATATGGCAGGAGATGGGGAAAAAATACTCACCACTCCACTATTTCAGGATGCAGAAGAACATTGTTGACTTGGAACCTGAAAGATCAAGGCCAAAATACAGAAAAACATTTGAGTTTGGTTTTTGAGCATTTTACCATCAGAACCATTGGTGTGCATCTTAATTTAAAATTCCTGTCTATCAAAGAGAGGTATGGTAGCTTTGATGGTCTCGTAAAAACCCAGTTTTATGGCAATGAAATGCAGTAGTTGCTCTTTTTGGAGTGAATGCAGAGAAAAAAATCACAATCATAAATACAAAACTAAAGCAAGGCTATAATTTATCACCATCTTTTATTGAGAGTTAAAAAAAATCTAACAAAAGGTCTATAATTACTATAGTGATTTCAGCGAAACAAGGAAATAATATGCCCTACTACACTTTTCATGCACACCTCATAAATACTGATGGATTTCAAAAGCTCATAATGCAAGTCAGCCTTTGCAGATGCACAGTGTATTTGGGGGAGCTGACATTTATCAAAAGAATAAAGTCCTTTATATCAGTATGCATTCCAACACTGAGCAATGTCACAGAATGGCCTGAGAGGAGAGGAATTTTTTATCGAATTTACTTTTCAAAATAGGAAAGAACTAAAAAGAATCTTTTCATATCCAATGTCCAGTCACAGGCAGAAATACCAATTAAAAAACAAACATCAAAACAGTACACAAAATAGTCAAAATATAAGGTTGGAGGTAATGAGAAAAAAACTTTTAATTCAAGTGTAAAATCATTTTTCAGCTTTACAAAAAATACATCTAATTTTCCCATCCCAATAGTAGCAGGAGATTGCCTCATGCATTATTTAGCAAGGAAATTCTTTTTGCATTAAGAGATACAATAAAAATATTTCAATATCTTGGCATTAGAGTTATCTCCTTGCAAATGAGATTGCAGTGTCCAAGACCAATGTGAAAATTGAGTTTTTTCCCCAGTTGACAAGAGAGTTTGTATGGCATTATCGAAAGCAAGAAAGTATATATTCTTATGTTAATGAAGTTTTTTTTTTACATTTCGTAGATAGTGATTAGGCTTTGTTAGTTCACTCTGACTACTTCACACTTTTAGCTCCCAATTCTGAGTTTTTAATCATCTCACAAATGGCAGAAGAGGAATGATTAATAGCTACATACTTGTGATACGTTGCCCTGTTAATCTTTGTCAGTCCTCTGTGCATTAAAGGCATTTCCAGGAGCTACAGTACTACAGATTGAGAAACTATGGTTTATTACACCTACAGAGAACCTTGTAACTCATTTATCACACCTACAAAGCAACATTTACCTCCTTTTTATCACCTTTTAACTACTGCTTTTCAATACAAGGATGTTCAAATGATATATTTAAACTCCTGTGTTGCCCTTTTCTGTGTCCTTTTAGTGACAGCTTTTATTGAAAAAAACAATACAGTATACTAGAAACAAGACATTCTAGTTACATTTAAATAGCAAACGCTCATGTTTAACTTGTACTTAAGATACACTACTGTAGCTCTGGACCAAGCATAGAAGGCCTTGTTTTTCTGTAAGCGTGGACTCCCTTAATGCTTTTGGAAAACTAGGAATATGATTATACGTTATGAGAAAACTTCATTTAATCTAATTAAAACAATTAAAAGTACGTTTTGTTGTCTATTAGACTGTCAGCATCTAACAAAAAAGGAAAGAATTATGCTAGCAAAATTACAATCCAAGAGACAACATACAGTTCCTACAGTTCGTTGACGAATTCCTTATCAAATTGAATGAATCTGCTTTCATTTGTAGGCATGCACGTTCGGCATCTTCCATATAATCAAAGCCTGATGTGTTTCCTGAACAACTAGCAATTACACTATTAAATTATTGAAACCAATTAAACCTACCGACTGATTCCTTCGAAGGAGGCTTCGCGGCAGGTGCTTCCACTATCTGTATTCAGCCCACGCTGGAAGAAAGACACACTTATTACTTTCCTAGCAAGTCGTCTAATAATGTCAGTCCATTGCAGGGCGGACAAAAGCCAGACATCGATGCTTCTGCCTGTCTGGCCCTAGAGCTAAATGAACTCATCCTAAGTCATAACAATCTCATAAGGAAAAGATGCTCCTTTTGGACAGAAAGCAACTTCAGTTTTATAAACCCACAGTTTCACTTGAACTGAGCTGTATTCACACTCAGGTAAAGCACTGAAACATAAAATAATTTTGCTTAAAGAAGCACCAACAGTAGATTAGTTTCTACATACTGTAGAATCAGAAGCACAGCAGTTTCTCTGGTAACAGGAGCACACCCACCTCCCCTCAATTCTAATAGTCTTCTACTGCAAAACTGGTAGAACTGAATGGGTCCCATCTTTCCATGATATTCCATGCTCTTTGTGTTTCATTTTCATTCTGGACCTAAGGTGACACTACAGCCCGGATTACACAAACTGTGCTGTGTAGTTGTGAAGGGCTTTGAAACACAAAACTTATCCAAGTACCGAGCAATCATTCTTTCAGTGGAATGCTAGCAGTGCTGGCGCCAAGCACTTTCTGCCAAGGTCTAAAAAAAAATACAAAGCACTAAAACCCGATACCCTACAATGAACACGAATTGCATCTTGAAGAAAAGTAATGACAGCAGGAGATCACGGATGTGCACAGTCCATTAGACCTGAGCTAATGTGTATGAAAGACTTCAATTACATATTTCTAAACAGCTCAAAAACAGAGTCAGGGGCAATAAAGCAAAAACATTCTTCTTACTTCATGGATCATTTCAACGGATTGAAAATGCCTCTGTAAAGTCTCGTCACCACCTACAAATATTTGTCTCTTCACAGAACAAACAATGTTGAGAAATAAGATGCCCAATATACTGCACAGTCAGCATCAACATACCATTATATTTATACACATATCAATAATATCGACATAATATATACTCTGAGATTGCCTCACCTATCTGCAGAATTAATATACATGTAATACTGAGGTAATCTGTCTGTCAGACATGAACCAACCAGGGTTCATCATGCAGAAATCACTCAGCTAAGCTCTTCTACTGTTCTCAGCCTCTTAAAAGCAATGCTTTGAAATAAACTCACCAGTGTAAGGAGAACTGCTGGGTTCATGTTGGCCAAGACATCAGCAATCTGCAAAAAAAAAGAATGAATTTTAGAGGCTATTTGCCTACTCTTTTGGGGGTAAAACATGTTACAGTAAACATGCATTTTTGTATTTGCAAAGGTCAGGAATGGTGGCACTGTGTGGTGTTTGTACAGTATGCTCGCCCTGTGTTTGCACAGGTTTCCTCCAGGTTCTGCAGTCTCCTCTCACAGCCTGAAGGCACACTGGTAGGTGAGTTGGCTTGTGTGTGTGTTCACGTCTGCCTGCCCATCCAAGGTGTATCCCACCTCCCCTGTGACCCTGAATGGGATAAAACAGTTAGTCGAGGGATGGACTGATGGACTTGTAAGGAAGGGCGTGGCAGGATGTTTCTGTGAAGCCAGTGACACTGTAATCCGAAGAATCCAGTAATCCAAAGAATCGTGAGCATAAAGCAATCGTGATTACTTCACAGTGGTAGGAGTAAGCATGCAAGTGTGACCAGAAAACAAAAAGATGATACAAGGCAAGGATGAGCCTTTTCTGAACCGAAAAGTCCACACTCTGCACATGTTCTCCTTTCAGCATTCAGCAGCTCCTCTCTCATGATCAGTCATCTGACACTAAGGTGCTCTTGAAATTTCAAATTCCAAATGGCAAACAATGCTTACAAGAGATTACTGCAGTTAATCACTGCTCTACAAACAGCTTAAATGTCACATTACAATGTGATCACTCTCTGCAACACTTTTATAACAGGACATGCTGTGTTTACACCTCTGAAACAAATAAACAAGCTGAAACTGAGTTTTGCAAGAAAAATAAATTCTTACCCTGAAAGTCATGTATGTTTGAGAGCAATGGTTCAGCTCAATGGGTTCATATAGGTTAGAGCAATGGTTTAAAAGTTAAACTCAACTCAATACAACTCAACTCTATATAACATCCTTTATGCCACAATATTCAAGGCACTTCACATAGATAAGTAAAGAGGCTCATAAATATAAATATTAGTTTTTCCTACTGATCCTCACCCTCACAATACAAAGAAGTCTGCTGTGAGTTCCCATGTCAAGAGGTACAGGGAAATAACTCTGAAGGGAAATGAAATTGCAAAACCATGCGAATATGGCAGGAGCTGCGTGTGCTATACGGTACAAGAAAGAAAACTTTGCTGGTGAATTCTGTACAATCGGTAGCTATTATAAGGCTTGGCTCAAAGAAAGAATGGTGACTAAGTCCAGACTGGATGAAATAGAGGCATGGCAAAAACAGAAAAAAAGAAAATATTCGATAATTCACATTTACACACAACTGCCTTTGCCAAAGAAAAATCAGAATCCCCTGCAATGTGAAAGTTAAAAGAAAACTGAAATGGAACCTACCAAGCGTCTTTCTTGTTATGCCCACACTTTCCTAAGCAAAACTTTGGTGAAGTTTTAAACCTTTAGCTCCCTCTGGAAATGGTAACATTTTCACTTGGCTGATTGTAACTGACAGCTTCCTCTTTTACAGGTTAGCTTTAGAGAGATGTCGCACATCTTATTCTTTAGGGCTTCATTTATTGCCTCTAATGCATTATTTATGCAAAAAACAATTAACTCTTTTATGGTGGATCAGGAATTTTAATGTGCTGGCTTACTGCTGTATTCCAATACAGCATACGCATAATCAATTTTCAATCACACAGAGTATATTTGCAACATCTACCACTGAGAGCAATATGAGCAAATAGATCACATTTCTGCATTTTGGGAAAAGGAAAATCAATTACATCAATGGCACATCATAAAAAAGATACATGGGGTGCAAGGATAACTTTGGGATTTTAACTGATGTTTTCTGTAAGGTGACAATTATTTACAGCACATTCAATCTCAAGCAGACTGCATGTCGCTCGGTATGGTGACCCAGTGCGTCAATGACGCGAGCTGCATTTCTTCAAATTCTCACCAAAACGCAGCACACGCCCTTATTTGGCACGTTTTCATCTCCGTCTCCGACAAAACACACAAAGACAAAACAGAAAAGGCGGCTGATCTGTCATTACAAACTCCTGCAGGATTTCGGTCTGACAGTATTAGTAGTTATCAACCCTCATTTTGGTCACATCCAGATTCTGCCCATGCTGAACCCCAGAGGTATTTACTGCCATTTTATTCAGGTTTTCCTGTTAACGGCAAATACTCAGAATCTAAACCCCCCTTTTTTGAAATTCCAGGCGTGCTTATTTTATTCAATGGTCTCATTGAAGGGACCACAGCTTTCACAACACAAAGCCGCATTCCACTTTATGGAGTTGCGGCTTTAAAACTGAGTAAGAATGAAAAGACCACTTTGACACAGAACTGCTCAAGATGCACAAGAGAAGGCAATATCAGTGATGATGTGGTCCTCAGTTCTGCACTGCAGGTCCTGCATAGAAGAGATAACTGACCTTCTGTTCCATGTCAGCCACTGCTTAAAGCATGCTTAAGAACAGATGTCCTACTGAGGTTTTATGCTCTATAATGCCTTAAAAGAAAATTAATTAATTTTGAGTAAAGCAACACTTTTGAGAACCAGCAATATTAAATAAACCAGGTTTTTCTTTTCTGAAGTATAAAAAGCGATCCCTCATTGTGTGCTTTCTGTAGCCTCACATATCAAAACTGAGAAGCATGTGCTCCAGACATGTAGATAGCATTGAAAAAAATAAACATAATTCAAATGAAACCTCAAATGTAATCTTGTACCTCTCTCAACAGTGATGCTTGGAAAAGAGAAAATGTGTATATTGCAACTCTTGAAAATCTGAACTAATTTGGTGTGACACACAGGGCTATAAATGAGTGATTTTGTTGTAGCAAGAAGCAGTTAGATAAGTGAGAACTTCCTGAATAAGTGCAATGTACAGTAGCTAATGAACTTCTCTGCTAATTAGTTTTAAAGGAAATATAAAAGTCTAAATTGGCCCTTTTTCATCAATCATAGATAAAACATGCATCGTTAATATTAGTCTTGCACCTCAAATGCACAAACTCACAAATAGTCATTAAAAAGAGACTTGGAGCATTAGCTGACAGAAACACTTGCTTAAGCCTTTGCCTGTGGCCAAGGCAGCATAGCACGCCATTAAAAAAGTCTTACGCACTGTTAGAGAACTTTGCCAACTACTTGCTAAAAACCTGCTGAAGCATTAAAAAAAACTGCTGGGCTCCACCCCCTTTCTGTCTCGCACACCCCTAAAGCAAATACCCAAATCCCAGTTCTGTAAAAACAATTATTTCCCTTGAAATCCTTCTGAAATACAAAAGGGCACTACTATGCTGAGACAGTGCATGTAATGAGTGCAGCTCTGCTCCATCTCTGCTGGGATTCGCTCAGTCACTTGCAATCTAAGAGAATATGCAGCACTTCTGTAGCATGGCTGCTGCTATCGAGTTATACTCTCCCCCTCTCACACTCAAACTTCATTTATCTGCAGAAGCCTCAGCGACTGATAGACACATGCAGCTGTGCTCTAATCCTCTCAAGATTCGCCCGCATGCAAGCTCAGAGTACACACAGCACCACCCTGTAAGACAGCACTGCTGTGAGCTCTGCATCACCCAAAGACTGGGCCTTCTTCTCTGGGAGAGTTCCACAATCTCTAGGTTTCCATCGGGTGACATCACTTTTGAGCCACTGAATCCTATTATACTGTACTTAAGCACTGATCGGTGTCTAGAGAAAAGGGTGCCAGGTGTGATAAGTCCTTATGAAGTCCATTAATCATGATAAAAATGAACAACTGGGTTACACAGCACCCTGATTTGATTTCTGTCAATAAATTCACATTAAATTGTGCAATGCTAACTATGCATGCTGTTGCATTTCATTAACCAAATCACACATTTAGCATTAAACGTTTCCACTGTAACTACATATATGTAAGTAAATCCACCAGCTTTACAAAGTTCAGGATGTTCCTTCGTATACTCGAATAAAATGTTTCTCATTTAAGAAGGCAAATACAATATCTAAAACTTAAAAACAAAACCCAACAACAGAGAGAAACCAAGCACAGATTCATCCCAAAGCAAAATGCTGAGGACCAGCGGTGCTTTGAGATTGATCAATGGTAGATTAGCGTGTCTTGGTGGCTGCATCACAAATCATTGCAAACGTTCCTCTGGGCAAAAGGGCTCCCAAATTGTGCTTAGAATGTTTAAAAAGGATGCATACAGAAATCAGAGGAGGAGACAAATCCATGGATAAAGGCAAGAAAGCCGACAAGCCAGAGAAGAAGGAAAATGCCATTGTCAGATTAAACTCTGTTCTGAGGCGACTGTATGATTATTACCTGCTGACAACTGTATTCGTTTCAGGAAGATCAAAGATGAACCAAAATGGCCTCCCCTCATCTGTATCTGTACCTTGTGTTTTCAGAAGAATCCTCACTCCGGATGATTACAGGTCTGCTGGCAATACTTGTCTACCCGTGTTGCCAGCTCATTTAATCAGTTTCCGTCCATTTCTTACAGACAGAAAGCACCTGCCAGATCCTGAGCAAGTGTGAATACTCAGTTCTGCGTGAGTATGATGCTCTTTGGCAACTAGAAAACTGCATCTACTTATGAAGGCTCCCAAGCAAGTCCCAGCCTGTTAAGTTTGAAGAAAACTGTCCCAACGATTTTTGGAAATGACCTGTTCGCATTAGAGGCAGCATTTTGCCAAGCACACATGGGCTTCTTTCAGGTGCTCCAGTTTCCTCCCAAACACATACCAGGAGGTTAGCAGGCATCTGGGAATATTAGCCCTGGTGTGAGTGTGAGCGTGTGTGTCCACTATCCATAGTATACCCACCAAGATTGTAACTCAGTGGCCAAACAGGAGGGTTACGGCTATGGGCAACACACTGATAGTGAAAGAAAAAATGGCAGTCAGCCAAGAATTCAATTTTCACGTACATTTATCCTGTTAGCACTAGAATTAGACCTATAAATCTTGGAAGTTATAGGCATAACAGGAACCAGAGCTATAAAGAAAGAGCTAGTCCATTCCTTTTGGTTTGAGCTTGCTTGCT